GGCTGTATCATTCATCAGCAGGCTCTCTGTGCCAAACATCTCAAATTTGATGATGTTATGAAACCAGTAGCAAAGACAATCAACTGTATTTGCTCTAAAGCTCTGTACCACCCACAGTGACATCCAGGCTGAATACAGGGACATAATTTATCACAGCGATGTGAGGGGGTCTGCACTACAGCGATTTTTCTCTCTCAGACAGAATCAGACAGTTTTTGGATGAGAAGGGACAACCAGTGGAAGAACTGTCTGATCCTGTATGGCTGGAAAATCTGGCTTTTTGGTTGACATTACGAAGTATCGGATTGCGCTGAATGTTAATCTTCAAGGAAAAGACACAGCGGGGAGCCAACTATACGCTCACATCAAGGCCTTTGGAAGCAAACGGCAACTTTTCCAAAGACACTTGTCCCTAACAGAGCCCTGTACCGCACACTTCCCAGCTTTGAAAGGTTACTGACAGTTTCCCAGAGGACATTAATGTCCACATGAAGAGTTACGCAACAGCTGTCGCGCTCCACATATTTGTGTGAGCAAAATTCTGTGTCATGAACTTAAAGAAGAGATCAAGGATGAGTGTCTCCCACAATATTTTACGCATCTCAACCACTGACCTGATCGCTTTACTAAAATCTAGATCTCAGTATCACTCCTCTCTGTAGTGCAGGGATGTCAAACTACTGGAGAGCTGCTATCCTGCATGTTTGAGTTCTCTTTCAGGTTTAGCACAGCTGAATCAAATGATGCTCATCAGCAGACCTGTGCAGAACTTTATTAAACATTTAAGATTTGATTTTAACTGTTATGCTCTTAATTCATAGTTGTGTGTGTTGTGTACATATTGTGTATAGTTACATATGTGTTTATTTCTTGTGCAAGTGAATTTCCCAGTTGTGTAATCTTCCTGTAGATGTGAAAAACTTGTAAAAGTCAAGGGCAAAATTCACTTTTGTTTAAACTTTATTGATAACAGACCACTTTTCATTACTTATAACTCCAGTTTAAAATGTTCATGAGGCAAAGATATTGCAAACTCGTGGAAATGTAGGGTATTCTCCACAGTTTGTTCAATGTTATCTGACTCTGCAGATATAAATGAAAGGCACAATTGTGTCTTTAGAGTTGTTCCTGCTGCGCGGCTTTTATTTAGGTACATTTCCATTTTTAAATAAAGGTAATTGTGACCATTAAAATTGTTCTTCATTATATTTTCATGCAACTTTGTTACAGAACCATTGGCCCCTGGGCATCTTCACTTTATAAAATTTGGCCCTCTTTGCAAAATGTTTGGACAGCCCTGATCCAGAGCATCATGAAACCAGCCAGGACTGCCTGGTGCACAGCAGGAAACATGGCCCTGACAGGGCTGCATGTAAAGAAATTTTCTTAGGTGGCGAAATCAAAGCCTTTTTAAAACAAACACATACACAGGTGTTACAGATGGTTAAAATTATTTAAATGCCGTAAGTATACTTACAGTATTTATATGTAACGTGTACAAATATACATGTCGCTCATACACGTTACATATAAATACAGTCAATAACTTAATTATTCTCTGTAGCCCACATACAGTGGGGCAAAAAAGTATTTAGTCAGCCACCGATTGTGCAAGTTCCCCCACTTAAAATGATGACAGAGGTCAGTAATTTGCACCAG